GTAATTGTGTAAAAATGAAAAGTTACTATTTGCAATCTCATTAGCAAAAAGTTTCTATGAGTAAGTCTAAGAAGTCTCATGTTACGTGTATGCAGAAAATATTAAAACTTGATTGGCAAACATTAAAGATTAAATAAATGGAAAGAAATATTTTCCAATTACTTTTTCTTCTATAAGGTGGGAACACTTGCTCTACTAGTCATTAAGGCCTCTTAGGGTTAAGAAAATTTGATATTGGCAGAAGACTAGACAAATAGATGAATGGAACGGAGCCCAGAGCCATAAATAAATGCACACACATATGGATGCCTAATTTATGGTAAAAGAGGCAGTGCAGATGCTGTTAGGAAAAGATGACCTTTTCTATAAATAATGCTGGGAAAATTGGATATCTCTTTGGTGGTAAAAAAACCTGGATTCCTCTACACACCATACAGTACAATTAATTTCATTGGATTTTAGATCTATATTTGAAAGGTGAAACAACACTTTTAGAAGATAATGTAGGAAAGAGAATTTGGGACAAGCAAGTAGGCCTTGAATATCGTGTCAAATAGTTTGGACTTTTAATTTCCCTACATCATAGGAGTTGCTAAAGGATTTTGATCCAAGGGTTGGCCATTCGGTTTTTTTTTTTCTTTTAAAGACAACTTTTGGTATAATTTAAGTTAGATTGTAATTCTGTTTCTGGCCACATCTGAGACTATCATCTGAAGACTTTTCAGTTACAAGACACTTAAAAATGCAGGTAAATTCCAACAAACACTTGAAATGCCAGTCTGTAATTGGAAGCTACTAAGGAAAAATTGGAGGTTAAATATGAATTTATATTTGAGGCTACTTATACTCCTCACCCCCTTTATATCTTGAATGGGAAACCTAGGTCACTAATTTTCAGTTATTCAATTTGAAAAGAAGAATCACACATCCTTCTTTCACACATACACTGGGTATCTAGCGTTTTGATTCCACTTATAGATTTTGGAGACACAGCTAGAGCAGTATGTTTGGGAAGGAGAATGATTTCTTTAACATGTTGAACATATTGGAGAAGTTATTTCAGGCAGGTGTTAGCAATAAGAGTAAAGGAATAGAAATGAGAGCAGTTGGAAAACACTAGAAAGAACATTGTTACTAGAACTACAGTTTCTGTTATAATTAGACATGAAACGCTTATATTCAGAAATGTTTAAGTCATACTTTTCAAAAACTACTCTAAAATACGTAGAAAATAATTTTGAGTTGAACATAAAGTGGTAGCCATTCTAAAGAATTTGTCCAAAAGTATAACGATAATGCAAATCTAATATAAAAGAAACTAAATGTCATATACATTTCCAGACATTTAAACCCCCGCTAGATTGCTATCTATTAAAAACAAATTATTGTATTTTTTTTCTTTTAAGAAAAACAGGTTTATTGAGATACAGTTCACAGTGATGGCAGCAGCAGCCCATCTGGAGTGGCCACTGTCATCATACCTGCTGTAGTGGGGAGGTGTAGCCGGAGCTGCACATTCCACAGAGCTGGTGGAAGCTGGGGACAAATGGGAATCCCACCCCTTTTGAGTTGGTGGGATGGGAGCTCCCTGGGTGCAGCTGCAAGTTGTGACTGTGGACCTGGGCTTCCTTGTGCTCTTGCAGGGGCCTGGGAGCAGGCAGGAGTCCTGCCCTCTGGGTGCAGCTACAGCTGCCCAAGTCATGACTGTGGAGCCTGGCATTCCTGCACTCTGGGGGTCTGGGAAGGCCTCCCTTGTCCCCGCAGGCCCAGAAGTGTCTGCTTCCACTGCCTGGCCTCTCCCTACTCCGGCGCCTGCTCTGATCTTGGAGCAAGGTTGGGGCCAAGCCTGGGCGTTGTTGCAGTCTGGATAGTTGTGTGCACTCTTGGGGTTAGTGCTGCATGCCAACCCCCTGCTGCCTCAGCCCCCTCCAGACTTTGGGTGCTGATGAGCATGGGAGGGAAGCTAAGGGGGTGGCTGAGGGCAGCTTGGCAGTGGCCTGCAGGCACCCCTTGGCACGAACAGCTTGGACACCATAAATGGCAGCAGGAGGCAGACAAAGCTCCTGGGCAGAAGGGGGCGGGTCCCTGGTGAGACCCACCTTCAGGCTAGGGAGGGCCTGAAGATTGGGGGCTGGGCTGCCAGTCCCACAGAGTGGGAAGTTGTGATGCCTTTTCTGGGCCTGCCCATGGCCACCCGTGGACCAGTTGGTGTGCACTTCTTTCCCTCTGAGTCCCAGAAAAGCCCTGGCTCAGCTAGAGCTAAATGGACATCAGGAAGACCAACTGCAGTTAGGAGCTACCCCCTCCAGGGCCACCTCTCTGCTGAGAGCTGCAGATGTCGGGATGACCAGCTGCAGAGAGGAGCTACCCACTCCAGGACCTCCTCTGTGCTGAGAGCTGAACACTCAACATGACGACCTGCCTGTGGAGAGGAGCTGCCCACTCCAGGATCTCTTCTGAACTATTCTGTCACTCAATAAAGCTCCTCTTCGCCTTGCTCACCCTCCACTTGTCTGCATACCTTGTTCTTCCTGGATGCAGGACAAGAACTTGGGACCTGTCAAATGGCAGGGCTGAAAAAGCTGTAATACAAACAGGGCTGAAACATGCCCCTTGCTCGCCATTTTGTGGGTGAAGAGGAGAGAAGAGCTGCAACTCTTCAGGGAGCTGAGACTTGGGAGCTCCCGGAGCCAGGGCTGTGACTTTGGGGCCCTGTGGTCCCTGGAGTCTGCAAGCTTCCAGGAACCGCCATGTTCCCCAGTGGCAGCCATAGAAGCTGCTTGCAGTGTGCCTGGTCCAGCCACAGCCTCACAGAGAGCCAGCACCTGTGCCAATACCTGGAGCTGCCTGCCCTGCTGCAGTAGCCGGCATGCCAGACTGTGCGCAGTGGCTGGACCTCACACTTGCTCACTCAAAACACCCCTTGCTGCCCCATGCCTGGCTTGCCCCTGGCAGGCATGGGATATAGGCTAGTAGTGTGAGCCGAGCGCAGTCAGGTTGAGTGGACAGAATGAGCCCAGCAGGTCTAAGCAAAACTGAGGCAGAGGTGTCACCAGCCACAGGTTTCCAGCCAGAAAAGCGACCCCCACAAGGGCTCCATAATAACAGCTGTACAGTGCACTCATTTTTTTTTTTTTTCCCGAGATGGAGTTTCGCTCTTGTCACCCAGTCTGGAGTACAATGGTGCGACTTCAGCTCACTGCAACCTCCGTCTCCCGGGTTCAAGTGATTCTCCTGCCTCAGCCTCCCAAGTAGCTGGATTACAGGTGCCTGTCACTGCGCCTAGCTAATTTTTGTATTTTTAGTAGAGATGGGGTTTCACCATGTTGGCCAGGCTGGTCTCGAATTCCTGACTTCAGACAATCCACCTGCCTCAGCCTCCCAAAGTGCTGGGATTACAGGCGTGAGCCACCGTGCCCAGCTTAGTTCACTCATTTAAACTGCATAGTTCAATGACTTTCAGTATATTTACAAAGTTGTGTAACCATCACTACAATAAATTTTAGAACGTTTTCATCACCCAGAAACCTTAAACCCTTTAGCCATCACTCCCAACCTTCCCCTCATCCTTCCAAGCTCTAGGCAACTTCTAATATACTTTGTTTTTCTATAGATTTGCCTGTTTGGGATATCTTGTATACATGGAATCATACAATACGTGGCCTTTTGTGTCTAGCTTCTTTAGCAAAGTGATTTCAAGATTCATCCATGTTGTTTTAGCTGTTCGTACTTCATTTATTTTTATTGAGGAATACCATTCCATTGTATGGATATACCACATTTATTCTACTTATTTATCAGTTGATGAGCATTTGGGTTTCTTCCACTTTTTTGGCTATTATGAAAAGTGTTGTTGTGAACATTCATGTAAAAGTTTTTTTTTGTGGACATTGCTGGATCATTTGATAACTCTTATGTTTAACAGAGAAACTGCAATACTCTTTTTCCAAAGAGGAACATCATTTTACATTCCCACCAATCAGTCAGTGTATGAGTGTTCCAACTTCTCTACATCCTCATCAAAAGCTGTTAATTATCTGTCTGTCTGATTATAGTCATCCTGGTGGTTTTGAAGTGGCATCTCATTTGGTTTAATTTGCTTATGCTTAATGACTATTGATGTGGTTTTGTATATCGTCTTTGGAGAAATGTCTATACAAATTTTTTCCCTAATTATTAAAAAATATTTTTCTTATTTAGAGATGGGGTCTTGCTGTGTTTCCCAGGCTGATCTCAAACTCCTGGGCTCAAGCAATCCACCCGCCTTGGCCTCCCAAAGTGCTGGGATTATAGGCATTGCACCACTGCGCCTGGCCCTTTTGCCTACTTTAAAATTTTATTATTTGTCTTTGTATTGTTTAGTTGTTCAGTTGTAATTGTTTATTATATATATTATCAAATGTATGATTTACAAATATTCTTAGGTTATATTTTTACTTTCTTAATAGTATCCTTTGAAGCAGAAAAGTTTTTAATTTTGATGAAGTTCATTTTTTTTTTTGGTTGCCAAGGTTTAGGTGTCTACTGTATTTTCTGAATGCCTTTGAAAATAATTTTTGTAAATAACTTGATCCTGCATTAAAATATAATCATGCTGCAGTTATTTTGTTATCATTAAAGACTGATAAGCCAGGCACTGTGGCTCATGTCTGTAATCCCAGCACTTTGGGAGGCCGAGGCAGGTGGATTGCCTGAGGTCAGGAGTTCGAGACCAGCCTGACCAATATGGTGAAACCCCATCTCTACTAAAAATACAAAAATCAGCTGGGCATGGTAGAGTGTGCCTGTAGTCCCAGCTACTTGGGAGGCTGAGGCAGGAGAATCACTTGAACCCAGGAGGCAGAGGTTGCAGTGAGCCAAGATCGCACCACTGCACTCCAGCCTGGGCAACAGAGTGACACTCCATTTCAAAAAAAAAAAAAAAAAGACTGATAAAAGTTATCGTAAGCAGCAGTGTTTACAATTCTTTTTTAAAATTTTGCCTGAAAATTATTTTACAGCTCTATAGTATCAACCCTCCTTGCTCTTATGGATGGATTAGATAATAGGGGTGAAATTGTTGTTATTGGTGCTACAAACAGACTTGACTCTATAGATCCTGCACTCAGGAGACCTGGTCGTTTTGACAGAGAATTCCTCTTCAACCTGCCTGATCAAAAGGTAAGAGTTTTTGTTTTCAATATGTTAATATTTATATGTAATTCTACTATAAAGCATATGTTCTGAGGGTGATATTTTATGAATTTTCATTGTTCAGATTTTGTGCTTATAGGATATCTTACTTAATACTTTAAAAACCTATGTAATTATGGAGCAGTTTTTTTCTATTAACAATTATAAGAAAGTTTATGATTTTTAGATAGTAAGAGGAAAGCTCTTGATAGGTCACTGTAGATACTTACTTGTGCTTTAGTTCTCCAGGTTGTAGTAGTTGTCCTGTATGGCAGTTTATGTGTCCCTAGTTAGCCAAAGTAACTTTATTCTCGTAAAATAATGTTTTTATAGAGTATTAGTGGGTTTATGAATAAGGACCCAGTATCCAAATTTTCATAGAAATTGCTGTATTTAATTAAAAACAACAAACGTTATTCATTATGGTATAAAGTTTTTTTTTAAAAGAATGTATTAATAATACAGGGCAATGTTTATCATTGATTATGTAAATATTATATAATATGATATACGAAGTTTTTTTTTCCCCAATTCAGCTTGAAACTTTTAGTGTTATTCTTGGTTTGACTAGTATAATCTGACTGGCTTTTCATTAGAAACTCAAATCTGAGAGGAAGAGATACATGCAAAGGATATATTGTATGTGAATATGTATAGCTTTATTCTTAGACCTCTATGTGAAATGCCTGGTTTATATACCTAGATGTGAAAGTCTTAGTGATTTGGATTGTATGGAAGACCATAGAGTAACAAAGGCAATGGCTTCCCTGTGTAGAGCAGTTCGTTCCTCAGTTTGACATCAGTCTCCACAATCACCAGTAGTTGACTCAGATTTGGATTGACAATCTAATTTACAAGCTTTAAATTGGCACCAGATTTATTTAGCTTTGTCAGAACAGGAAACATAGCATATACAGCACTATTTTCATTACACAAGTGCAACCTTCAGGAATGTATGAGTGCATATTGGTGTGTTTATTTGTAGCAGATAGGGCTGAAGTAGGTACAGTCTACTTCACTGTGGGGAAGCATTAACTTTTTTGTTTGGGACATCTAACAACAGTCCAAGCACAGCTTTTATACTCTTCAGTACATGGGGAAATGTGCTTAGTTCTGAGAGACAGCACAGGAAAGCCATTTCCTTGATTTCCCAATTGTCTTCTGTACTATCTTAGCTAAGTAGGCTTCAGAGTCTATATGCCAATCACAGCCCTCACAGTCCAGGTTCAGTTCACGCAAATCAAGGGTTTAACAGTAAACAAGGTTTAGAACAGCACTGTCTAATATAATTTTCTGTGATGATGGAAGTGTTCTATTTTGGCATTGTTCTTTGAGCAGTATGCATTGTGGTAGCCACTAGCCACATGTAGCTATTGAACACTTAAAATGTTGCTAGTGTGACTGAAGAACTGCATTTTAAATTTTGTTTAGTATTAGTTAATTTAAAATTTAAATAAAATAGCATTGTGTGGCTCATGACTTACTATATTGCACAGCATGGATCTTGAACATAGTTTTCCACATTAACTTTCTCTTTCTAACATTTCGAGCAAACAGTTTTGTGAGACTGAAATATAAGGTCGTTATTCTTAGGCCTGGGTCTGTGGAAAGGCCTATGCTGGCTGTTTACCTTTTTCCCTTAAGTAGTTTTTAAGGTCCTGAGACTAGATGAGATTACCAAGTCTTCTCTCTTACAGAGCAGTCAGTAAGATAAGAGGAAAACTAAGAGAGTGGGGTGTTCTGATAGCCAAGTGAAGAAAATGTATCAATGAGGAGGGTGTGATTAACCATGTCACATGTTGCTAAGTCCATTCAGCTAAGGACAGAAAATTGGTCATTGTGTTTATCATTATGTAGGTCGTCAGTGAATCTGATGAGAACAGTTTCAGTTAGTAGTGGGTGCAAAAGCTTAATTGGAGTGTGTTAGTTCAAGAGAAAATGGGAAGGAATTGGAGGGAGTGAATATAGATATGTTTTAAAAAGAGTTTTTCTGCAAAGGGAAGCAAAGAATTTAGGTGATATGATATTGAAGGAAGCAGGGGCAAGATAATGTGTTTCATTGTTTTCAAGATGGAAGAAATCTAGTAGAAAAGGGAATTTTTATGTGAAATTGAGAGATGTCAGTAGGCAAAAAGTAATAGGATTTAGCATAAAAGTGGCATGAATGACTTTAGATAGGAGCTGGCTAGTTCATCTGTGACAATAGAGAGAAGACAGAATATTGTTGGCACACATGCTGATGGGTGGACATCTTTGGTGATTAGGATGTGGGGAATCTATGGAAGTTTTTTTCTGATTGCTTCAATTTTCTCAGTGAATTGGGAGGCACGGTCATCAGTGGAATGTGAAGATGTGCTGTGAAATAGTCTGCTAGGAGAAAGGCATAATGAATGACCTAGGGAAGTATTAAGGGTAGTAGTAATAAGGACCCATTTGGGTCATTAATTTAAAGTGATACCGGTCAGTGTCTCAGTCCTGTGGTTTGGCCAGTAGAATATCATGACTCTTGCTATTTGATTAAGTAAAAGATTAATAAAACTAAATCTTGTTTTCAAATTTTAATAATTTTGTTAATTATTTGCATAAAATAGTACACACCTTCCATATGCAATAATGCTTTTTAATTTCTTTTATTTTCCTTTATCATCATTTTTATGATTGTTATAAGTAATATATATTTGTATGTGTACTTGTAGATTCTGAAAAATGAGGGGCTTGAATTTGCCTTTGATGTTTAATAGAAGTTACTTTCTATTAGAGGAAGCCCTTTGACTTACTATTTGGTATGCCGTATAGAGTAAAATACATAATGAACATTTCTTGATTTCTACATTTAAATAATTTTTTCTTCATTCCATGTCTTGTTTTTAGTGTGACAAAAGGAAGGTGACTTTGATTGGATTATATAGGGAAAGAGCATTATTAGGGACCTGAAAATAACTTGCTAACCTTTGATAATTAATTTCATTACTTTAAACCTCTTTTTAGGGAAATGAGAGGATAAGAATGGATCTCTTTTTGGGATATCTTCCAGCATAATTTTTTTTTACATGTTCTTGATATTTTAAGGGTCTTGTAATCACCCTTAGCAGCACAGTACCTGTGCTGCTAATGAAGTTTGTATAGATTCTTAATGTCATCTTACAGAATATATATGCTGTTAGGTTGATATTTCTTTTGGACTTTCTTTTTTTTTTTTAGTATCTGTTCAAGTAGATACTTCACGTTGGAAGAAAATAAGTGTCATATCATTGCTTTAACTTTCATAGCTGAATGCCTAACTTAGAACTTGGAATTGAAACTGTAGCGATTGATTCCAGATTTTGTCAACTTTTTGAGCAAGATTTATCTTGATGACTTTGTAGTTGTTCTGTTTTGTTGCTGGTCCCCAAATTCCTCATCAAGTCAGTAAGATGTTATCATCTTGGTTATAATTTTCTTTTTCATATCTCAAGAAGCTTAGATAGCAGTGTTGAGGGAACAAGCATATTCAATTTTTTAAAAGTGTTGTAATTTTCTCCAAAGAAGGCAGATGTGAAAACAAAATTCTGATCTGACTGTTGGTGGTGGTTAGTATCAGCTGATTATAGATTTTTATATGTTAGTGTTTTTTTAAGAAAACTATTTTAGGCTGGGCACGGTGGCTCACGCCTGTAATCCCAGCACTTTGGGAGGCCGAGGCGGGTGGATCACTTGAGGTCAGGAGTTCAAAACCAGCCTGGCCAATATGGTGAAACTCTGTCTCACTAAACATACAAAAGTTAGCCAGGTGTGGTGGCGAGTGCCTGTAATCCCAGCTGCTCAGGAGGCTGAGGCACGAGAATCACTTGAACCTTGGAGGCTGAGGTTGCAGTGAGTGAGATCACGCCACTGCACTTCAGCCTGGGTGACAGAGCGAGACTCAGTCTCAAAAACAAAAAAACTATTTTAGAAAAACGAATTTCTGTTTGTTTTGAAAGCAAGACGTTGGCCGGGCGCGGTGGCTCAAGCTTGTAATCCCAGCACTTTGGGAGGCCGAGACGGGCGGATCACGAGGTCAAGAGATCGAGACCATCCTGGCTAACATGGTGAAACCCCGTCTCTACTAAAAAAATACAAAAAGCTAGGCGGGCGCCTGTAGTCCCAGCTACTCCGGAGGCTGAGGCAGCGTAAACCCGGGAGGCAGAGCTTGCAGTGAGCTGAGATCCGGCCACTGCACTCCAGCCCAGGTGACAGAGCGAGTCTCCATCTCAAAAAAAAAAAAAAAGAAAAAAAAAGAAAGCAAGACGTTAAAATTTTGATTGTAGATTTAAGCTAGAGAATGTTGAAATCAATGTAAAATTGTTTATAACACTTTGATCTTTCAATGAATTTAATTGAAATTTATTGAAGTACCATGTATTAAATGCCAAAGCATCAACTAACTGACAAAGTAATAATATGCATGATATATATATATATATTCTTTTCTCCCTTTGAGACAGGATCTCACTCTTATCACCCAGGCTGGAGTGCAGTGGCGTGATCACAGCACACTGCAGGCCTCGACCTCTCAGGCTCAAGGGACTCTCCCACCTCAGCTTCCTGAGTACCTGGGACCACAGGCGTGCACCACCATGCCCAATTAATTGAAAAACAATTTTTTTGCAGAGACAGGATGTCACTATGTTGTCCAGGCTAGTCTTGAACTCCTGGACACAAGCGATCCTCCTGCCTCAGCATCCCAAAGTGCTAAGATTGCAGGTGTGAGCCACCACAACTGGCATGCATGATATTTACTTAAACTTGAATACTTTTCAAATTAAAAGCTTTTTTCAAGTTTAAGTTACTTGTTATTTTGCTCATTGTTGATCATAATACCACAAATTCTATGAAATGTAAAGTTTGTTTAAAATTATGACTATAACTTTGTTCATATATTTTCAAATGGTAAAAGTGGTATGGTGGAAAAGTGAAATATAATTTTGAATTCTAGTCCCACATGAGTCACTTAGTTGTTATATGCTGCCAGTCAATTTTCTTCACCTATCACAACATTAAATGTCTTAGGTTGTGAAACACAGAAAAAATCTCTACTACATGTCTCCCAGATTTATTGTTGGAATCAGAGTTGATGTAGATAGATGCTAAGGTGTTTAAATTTTTTAAAAATAAAAGTTTTAATGAGATATGGTTAGTCAAAATTTGTTCCACCTAACGTATTTGAAGGATTGATAATATTTTATCTGTACTTTTCTTCTTGGGCAAGATTTTATATATCTGTGCTTTTCATCTTAGGCAAGAAAACACATCTTACAGATCCATACCAGGGACTGGAATCCAAAATTGTCAGATGCATTTTTAGGTGAATTGGCTGAAAAATGTGTTGGTGAGTGTTACTGTTTGAATTATTTGATTGTCATTGTTTATTCTGCTCAACCTCCCTTTCCCCTTATGTTTGGAGTGTGAATAAGCATAGTTATGTTTTTGATTGTGCAGTAGATTGGCTCTGCCTTTATATTTTAGAGTTATTTTAACTGTTTCACTTAAAAGTTTGAGTACTTGTAAATTAGAATTTTAACTGCCATTAGGTGTTTAGTTAACAAAGCTCAATAATAACATGCCTTTCACTGAGTGCTGGGTATCTATAATATTAATACAGGGTCTCCTTTTGAATATCATTCCCTCTTAGAAATTTTACTAAGAAGAATAGCTTAAACTTGAGAGAGAAAAGTCCATGTCAAAGCAGGACTGCAGCCTTTTACTTTTACTTTGCAGATTACACAATGGGCTCATTTTCATTCCTGTGGTCTAGAAAGAAGTTGGGTGGGAGAGGTCTTCAAAGAAAATAGTTAATGGTATTTGGTAGTATTTCCCCAAATATAAAACTTTCCAATTTAACTTTAAATTTTTCACAGAGTGGAAGATCTCTCCACAGAGTGAATGAACGCTACTGTCCTGCTAGGACGTGGTGAGAGTGTTTTATCTGCACAGATGATCACACATAGGAGATGGAATTCAGGGTTTTGACTCTAATTAGGTCTGAAATAAAAAGGCATACAATATTAGGCAGCTGAAAATACACACAGGTATTTCTCCTTCATTCTTTCCCCCTCTTTTGTCTGTTTTCCTCTCATACTCTGAAAAATATAAATTAAAAAAAAAAAAAACCAATCTTCATGAACTTTTTAAGCATTGTGAAGAAATCCCCCAAATAAGTCCACTGACAATAACTTACTTGGGAAAACTTTAAAGTTACCAAAGCCAAAAAGAACAACTTAATTTAAAAAATCATTGTGATCCACCATCAAATAATTAAAACTTAAATAGAACATTAGTCCATTCAGTTAGCTACATCCAAATTATCCTCTTCATCCACAGGGACTTCCATCTCCGAAGCAGCATCCCTCAGCTTTTGAACCACAAAGACCTCGACATCTTCTGGTGAGGAGAAAACGTAAATCTCTCCAGCACTACTTCAGTTTAAGCTTTGCCTGGTATAAGAGAGCATGCGCCAAACACATTTCATGTTAATTTGGCTTGACTTTTGCAAAGCCTTGTGCTGCTTTATGGGAGAGGGTGGTATTTGGTATAAAATCCAGTCTTTTCCCTTTTTGAAAATAGACCCCTTTTATTTATGATGATATTTTACTAGAGTTCAGATCAGACTGGGAAATCTGTCGATTTTTCTGTAAATTTGTCACAGAATGATCCTTAACTGAAATAAGCAGAAGTCAAGTTGTCAAATCATTTTGGAAATTCCCTAAGAGATAGGTATTCTAAATTACTTTCTATTATCCTGTCTACCATCTGAAATATTATGCACTCTAGTTTAATTCTTCATCCCAAATAATAGAATCTTAGTTTCCTTTTGCATTTCCAAAGACAATACTTCTCATTTTTCCAAGTGATTTTTTTAACTTTTAGGCAGTTTCTTAAGTTTTTAAATTTTCATGGTATAATTTCTTACAAGACTGATAAATTTCTCTTACCTTGTTTTTCTTCCCCTCTGTGGGGTGGTAGTATGTCTGCAGACTCTGCTTATATACCATTTTCTTCCTGGACAGTGACATAAAAATCCATTATAATTAAATGACTTCTGTTTTTTGTTAAGACATTCATTCCATCTGAGAAACCGGTTCACATTAAAAAAAAAAAAAAATTCAGATCTTCAAACGGGAGTGAAATAGTAATTTTAAATCCATTACAAACTCACTTAGTGTATGTATGCCAAACATGTTTTAACATGAATAGGTTCAGTTCATTGACATTTATGCCTAATAAAAGAGTGTGTAGTCTTGATGAACATCTGTGAAGATAGCTGACCTTTTGTTAGAGGTTATGGATTTGGTAACTTTTACCTTGAAATTCCCAAGTTCTTAGAGGTTTTTGCATGCATATTGGGTGTGATTTTTGCATAGTGAAAAACTCAATATACATTGATATCAGGAACATTTGCATAAATAGTAGGAACTTACGATTAATGAAACACTCAACTCTAATCATATTTTTCTATTCCATTTTCACTGAGAGGGCTAAAACAATGAAAGAGTCTCAATGAAGTATCTGTCTTGTGGGCCTTCATTATGTGTGATGCTGTACTTAAAACTTCATAAAATTTTGTTATGACCTTGTTTCTAGTCTAACCTCTTTAGTAGCTGTGTTTTCAGTCTTTCAGGACAATTTCTATCTTAATAGCAGTATTCAGGAATGCTCTTTATTTGATATCTAAATGTGTTCACAGAGTATTAGAATTGTAATGGTAGATTTAGTATGGTTATGAAAGGGATGTTTATACTTTTTTAAATATTAACTTTTAACTCCTAAAAGGCTGTAGTATATTTTCAGTATTACTAGAATGATCATATTATTTATTGTCTAAACAAGGACTCTTTGAGAGTGAAAAGGTGTGCTATTAATTATGGCAGAACAAGAGGCTTAACCAGCACATGTGGTTACCCTAAGTGTAACCCATTTAGCCATGGTTATGATGCACTTTTAAAGTTTTAGAAGGAAGTATGTTAAATCAGTAGTTCTCAATTTTGTGTGTATCAGAATCACTTCTAAAGCTTTCTTGAAATGCACATATCATCAAGCCCCCAGAGATTCTGATTCACTAGGTTTATTGTGGGGCTTGGGAATCCGTTTTTTTTTGTTTAAATTTCAGTGTTTATTCAGGTGGATAATCAAGGTGAGAACCACAGATATAAACTGGTAATTCTCACTTATAAGCTAATGTAAAAAAATTTCCTCCTTTATAAGTCTGTTGGTTATAATAATTAATGTGAAAATCTACCTCATTAAATGGGGTCTATTGATCATTTATTTGTCTGGAATAAATGAGGGAAAGATGAACAATAATACATTGCTGTTATATATGTAATTAACATGTTATGGCAAAGATAAATGTTATGGGTAACATTTACTATGTAAAATACCTTCTAGTGGCTAATTATTTGTTTTGCCTTAATAGTTTCTGAGTTTTAATTTTTTTAAACTTAGGCTTTTGCACTTAAAATAGGACCATATAGTATGTTCATTAACTGTGTATATCCTTTTAAAGAAGAAATAGAAACGTAATTGTTTATATTGTTTGAAGATGGTAGTATATTCCTTATTTCCTCTGAAATGGAAGACAGAATTCACATTCTATAATCAGATCCTTGGATTATTTTGTTAACTGTTTATAACTTTGAGCTAGTGTTCTATACATTATTGAATTAATGAAACAGGTATATATGCAAAAGGAAAAGGTAATTTTTTTCCAGGTTTATTCTTTGAGAAATAGAAAATAAAATGAGACACTAGTGGTAAGTTTGGTTATCCAGAGAATTATTTGTGAGACAGATTGCTGTCATGGAACAATGTTAGTGCTTAATCTGCTTATAGTCTTCTGAATTAAGTTCTTCTAGGTCATATTAAGTTTTTCCCTAACTTTTAATAAGTTTTTCTTTGTAATCACCATTTTTAGTTGAGTATTTAAATGTTCTGTAAGGTCATTGTGAGGTGTAAAAAGATAAATAGTCCAGATGTGATGGCTCATGCCTATAACACCAGCACTTTGGGAGGGTGAGGCAGGAGGATTGCTTGAGGCCAGGAGTTCGAGACCAGCCTGGGCAAAGTGAGACCCCTATCTCTAAAAAAAAAAAAAAAATCAAAAAATTAGCCTGATGTGATGGTACACACTGTAGTCTCAGCTACTCAGCAGGCTGAGGCAGAAGGATTTCTTGAGCTCAGGAGCTCAAGGCTGCAGTGAGCCATGATCATCCACTGCACTTCAGCCTGGGCAACAGAGCGATATGCTGTCTCCCAAAAATAAAATAAAAATAAACCTGGTATTGTTTGTTGAGGAGCTTAGTTAGGGTCTAATATTCTATAACTATTCGAATGGTTCCCCCTACTGGCATAACTGATAATTGTGGCCAAATGCAAGTTTAATTGCTAACAGGAAAAACAGTGTGGCTAGTTTGAGCTTTTCTTCCTTTTTGTGACAAGGATGCAACAGAGCATGTGTTTTTGTATGTATTTGTTACTCAGATGAATGAAATGACTTAAAAACACTGGGGCTTGATCTGTTGTTTGATTGTATCATCCATTAAACATGGGTAATAATACCCCATGTTGGTATAACCCTTAGAATTAGATTATCAGTCATTTTAAACTAAACAAAGAAAATTAATGTGGAAAATCAATGGAAATATTTTTTAATGTTCTTATTTACTTTAATATATTTGGAACTATCAGATGAATTACAATTTTAAATGATAATTATGGGAGTAACTGAATGTTAATAGTTGGTTGTACTCAGAGTTGGTAGTAGAATAGCTTTGTTTTTGAAGTTTCTTTTTATATACTATTTTATACGTGTTTGGAAGTTAATAATATTAGAAAAAATCATTTATAAGTAAGTATAATGTCATGAGGACTAACCTAATGATTGTGAATATTGATGAAGGACTGAAATGAAACTATTATTCTTTTAAAACTTTTTTTCTAAAGAAAGTTGTATGTTGTAGGCCAGCTGTGGTGGCTCATGCCTGTAATCCCAGCATTTCAGGGTGCCGAGGCGGGTGGATCACTTGAGCCCAGGAGTTTGAGACCAGCCTAGGCAATATAGTGAGACCTCATCTCTACAAAATAAATAAAAGAAAAGAAAAAAATTACACAAGTGTGGTGGCACATGCCTGTAGTCCCAGCTACTCAGAAGGCTGAAGTGGGAGGACCACTTGAGGGTGGGAGGTAGAGGTTGCAGTGAGCCGGGTTGCACCACTGCACTCCAGCCTGGGTGGGCAACAGAGTGAGACCCTGTCTCTTGTTTATTTATTTTTTTGAGACCCTGTCTCTTAAAAAAAAAAAAAGTTGTACATTGTAATCAGTTAATCACATAATACATGGCTTTTGTTTTAAAGCTTATATCAAGGACATACTTAAGATACATAGCTTGTTTTAATATTGTTAGCTTATGTTTTTGTTAATTAAAAATATTCAAAACATTTTTAATCTTAATGTAAGTATTCAGCCCTTTATTCAGCAGTTTTGTTTGGTGATTTTAAATGGCTAGTTTTCATTTTGCTGGTAAAATTGCACATAGTTATTGATTTAGTATTGATGATGATGTTAGCTAAAGTTGGTGCATGGAATAATGAATGTACCTTTGCTGTCCTTCTCCTTTTGTGCATTAGGCTACTGTGGAGCTGATATCAAGGCCCTGTGCACTGAAGCTGCCCTGATTGCGCTGCGGAGGCGTTATCCCCAGATCTATGCTAGCAGTCATAAACTGCAGCTGGATGTTTCCTCAATAGTGCTTAGTGCTCAAGACTTTTACCATGCAATGCAGAATATTGTGCCTGCTTCGCAACGTGCTGTGATGTCTTCAGGGCATGCACTATCCCCCATCATAAGGCCACTGCTGGAAAGAAGCTTCAACAACATCCTAGCGGTCTTGCAAAAAGTGTTTCCTCATGCTGAAATTAGCCAGAGTGACAAAAAAGAAGGTACTCTAAACTACTTTTTCATATTGTTAAGATGAAACAAATACAGGAATAAATAAATATAGTTTCCTCACAAGATTATTTATGTGTCACTTTTGTAATATATCTGTTTATTCAGTACTATATATTCCAGGCCTGGCATATTACCTGGCATATGGTAGTTGCCTGGTGAATGTTTGTAAGACAAATAAGTGAATGTTCACTTTTGGGACGTTCTGATCATCTTAATGTAGGGCTATTACTATCTTTAGAAAGTTGACTATAATAATAGGTTAACCTTTAAAGCCCCAAATTGTCACCTATTAATCCTTTTTTATTTTATTTTTTTTATTTGAGATGGAGTTTTGCTCTTGTTGCCCAGGCTGGAGTGTAATGCTGCTGTCTTGGATCACTGCAACCTCCGCCTTCCGGGTACAAGCGATTCTCCTGCCTCAGCCTTCCGAGTAGCTGGGATTTCAGGTGCCTGCCACCATGCCCGGCTAATTTTTAAAATATTTTTAGTAGAGACAGGGTTTCACCATGTTGGGCAGGCTGGTTTCCAACTCCTGATACACCGGCCTTGAACTCCCAAAGTGCTGGGATTACAGGTGTGAGCCACCGTGCCCGGCTTATTAATCCTCTTAACAGGCTTGCAGGTAAGCACTCTGATTATATAGAGCGGGGGAGTGGGAAATACAGGCTGGTAATTTATTTTTTTTGAGACAATGTCTCTGTCACCCAGGTTGTAATGCAGTGGCCTGATCTCAGCTCACTGCAGCATCTGCCTCCCAGGTTCAAGCAATTCTCCTGCCTCAGCCCCCCAAGTAGCTGGGATAGCAGGTGTGTGCCACCACGCCCAGCTAATTTTTGTATTTGTTTGTTTGTTTAATAGATATGGGGTTTCACCATATTGGTCAGGCTGGTCTCGAACTTCTGACCTCAGGTGATCCACCCACCTTGGCCTCCCAAAGTGCTGGGATTGGAGACTTGAGTCACCGTGCCCAGCCTGGTAATTTAGTTAATATAAGGTCATTGAATAAGTTCTGGGGCCTGCCCCAACCCAGGGAGCCTGATGACAGCCCTTGCTCTTACCTATGTTGCTATACTGCTTCTTTGGATTAAACTAATCATTTTGTTGTTATTGGTAGGGCACTCTGCAGTGTGCAGTGCTCATAGGAGTGTAAGGTATTGATAAGGGAGTAAATGAGAACCCCGTTGTAGAGGGTCTTGAGTTTTATCAAGCCTCTAGATAGTACTTTGCACCTGATATAAAAACAGAACACTACTTTGAAAAACATCACTCATGGTTGGGTGCGGTGAGTCACGCCTGTGTAATCCCAGCATTTTGGGAGGCCAAGGCAGGCGGATCACCTGAGGTCAGGAGTTCGAGACCAGCCTGGCCAACATGGTGAAACCCTGTCTCTTTAAAAAAAAAAAAAATAACGGCCGGGCGCGGTGGCTCAAGCCTGTAATCCCAGCACTTTGGGAGGCCGAGACGGGCGGATCACGAAGTCAGGAGATCGAGACCATCCTGGCTAACACGGTGAAACCCAGTCTCTACTAAAAAAATACAAAAAAAAACTAGCCGGGCGAGGTGGCGGGCACCTGTAGTCCCAGCTACTCGGGAGGCTGAGGCAGGAGAACGGCGTAAACCCGGGAGGCGGAGCTTGCAGTGAGCTGAGATCCGGCCACTGCACTCCAGCCTGGGCGACAGCGCGAGACTCTGTCTCAAAAAAAAAAAAAATAAAATAAAAAATAAATAAATCAAATTAAAAACATCACTCATTTACAGGAAAAAAATTTTAAAATTAGATTAACATTCTAATCAGAGTATAAAGCTCATAAACTTTGAAGGGAAAGTAATGTCTTTTGATTATCTTAATTTCTCCAGTTCCTAGCACTTTGTCTGGAATGCAGTCCGCACCAAATAGAAAATTATTCAGAGAATTACACTAACATTAAAAATAATAGTAAAAATTATGAATGTTGTTCAATGAATTCTTCTGTCATAAATATATTTTTCAGAAACTTTAACTTTTTAGTGACAGAGTCATATAAGATATCACATGGAATACCTGATTTCTTAAATTTGGCAGAGGGGAATGAATATTTTACTGAATATCTGTGAGCCAGGCACCATACCATGATTTGTGTATTTTTTATTTCTGAATTTTATAACTGGAAATGTATTTCATATGTATTTTATGTACCAAAACTTCCCAAAAAACTTATGTCACCTTTAGAAAATCATAAAAACCTTTTCTTTCATCATAGCTTTTTATCTCCATTTGTGAATTACCATTTTATAGCATTATTATCTATGTTTTCTTATAGCTTTTTTGTGTGTAAATGTAAAGTATGCTTTAGTTTCAGTTGGTAGAACTAGTTGACATGACCAGTGGAGAAGAGCAACCAAATTTTATTTGATTATCAGTGATTGGTTTTTAGCTATTTAGTCATATTACTTATTCTGGCTCGTTTTGACCTTTAATGTTTTTCTTAGATAAATATCATTTCCTTGTGTATGAAATTATCACTCAAAAGATACTCAGTTATTTCCCAGATTAAAATATGACTTGTACTAAATATTTAGCTTTTTTTTTGTTTTTTTTGAGACAGAGTCTTCACTCTGTCACCCAGGCTGGAGTGCAGTGGTGCTGTCTCAGCTCACTGCAAGCTCTGCCTCCTGGGTTCACGCCATTCTTCTGTCTCAGCCTCCCTAGTAGCTGGGACTATAGGCGCCTGCCACCATGCCCGGCTAATTTTTTTTGTATTTTTAGTAGAGATGGGGTTTCACTGTGTTAGCCAGGATGGTCTCGATTAAATATTTAGCTTTTAAAAGCCACATGAGATCTCTATCTGCCAGCATAATTTAGTATCTAATTTTAGAATGCATCTGCATATTTTTTGTTTTGAAAGGGTATGATTTCTCTTAATCTTAATTCTCTCTCATATCCCGTACACATGTAGCATTACTTTTTATTGAATGAATTGTCACTTTTGATTAGGCATGTTTGAAGTATAGCTGTTGGTAGTCCAGGTGAGGCTTTAAGTGTTGCATTCCCAGTAGAGATTTTAGTTCTAGTTAGTTCCCTGAGTGGTAACTGAAGGCCCATAGAGAGAATAATGCTGTATGAATGAGTATATTTTTAAGATTAGCTTTGACGGAATTTCTGACTCCATCTTAACTAGACTAAGTCTTCCTTGAAAAGGTGTATCCTCTTTAAAAAATAAGGGTCAGTTTGTTCCTTGTTGCTTTTATAAGAACTGGCCTTGATTCAGCTAACCTACTAATTAAACCAAATATTAAATGGACTGGTTTTGGTCATAATTAACTCAGAGATTTTTAGTTAAATAGGTGGGATTTTATGAGAGTGCCACTTCTTTTCCAGACTTGTTTTTTTTTTTTAAGCCAGTCAGTGAGTTCTTCCAAATTATCTTTCATAATACTTAAGTAAATAGTCTGTAAAGGTGAAAATGTTTTATTAATTTTGTTTATAGGTTATTTTAAAAGCTGCAGTTTGTCAATTTGCCTGTATTATTTGATAGATCACTTATTAATGTCATTTGATTTTTTAACCCAATTTTTCTTAGCTTTGGTAAGGCACTAATATTAAATGACTTTATGAGCCTCATAACATTGTGATTTTTTTAAACAGATATAGAAACTTTAATTTTAGAGGATAGTGAAGATGAAAATGCTTTATCAATTTTTGAGACCCATTGTCACTCAGGATCACCAAAGAAACAGTCATCAGCTGCTGCTATACATAAACCCTACCTTCATTTTACAATGTGAGTGATTTATATCAAATTTCTTTGTATTTAGAGCGATTTTTGATACTTTATGATTAGAATTATAGTATATTTTTACTTATGGTTATAACTGTGAGGATATTGTTTTTCTGTTGTTTGGACACAATTCTGGAAAACTTTTACTACGTATTCTTATTCATGTGGTAATAGCTTGTTGGTTAACTACTTAGGTGTTTTTTTCCTCCAACTAGAAGAATCTTTCCTGCTACTTTTCTTTTTTCTTTTTTTTTTTTTTGAGACAAGAGTCTCACTCTGTCGCCTGGCGTAGAGTGCAGTGGCACGATCTCAGCTCGCTGCAACCTCTGCCTCCTGAGTTTAAGCTATTCTTGTGCCTCAGCCTCCTCTGTAGCTGGGATTACAGGTGTGCGCTACCATGCCCAGCTAATTTTTGTATTTTTAGTAGAGATGGGGTTTCACTATGTTGTCCAGGCTGGTCTCAAACCTCGGGTGCTCTGCCTGCTTCGGCCTCCTGAAGTGCTGGGATTATAGGCATACGCCACTGCACTCAGCCAAGTTTACTTTTTTTAAAAGTGATGGTGTGAATTTTTTTTCCCCCATGGAGGCAGAGGAAGGCTTACCCTTAGAAAGTCAAGTCATGAGCCCCAACTTTATTGCTTTTTATTTAATGGGCAGAAATGAAATATTAGCCATGATCTGGAGTACTTTAATTTGTAATAAACTTTAGATGATCATTTAGATCTCTAAGGCTACTAAAAGAGATTTTGATTTAGAAATTGTTCAGTAATTAAATAACTTTTTGATTTTCTAGAAACATTATACTTTTATAATTTGGATTTCATGGTTTTTCAATTTACATTTATCCTTTTATTATCTGTGTTAAAGCAACTTTTGCTGTGCACTATGCTAGGTAAACACTTTTAGTGCAAATCTGATTTTAAATTAAGAGGCCAAGTAGTGTTCAAACACTAACAGCATCTTTACTTGCATTTACATAATTAGCCCATAGTTGAAGAACCATAAAGCTTCCGTTAGGTAGATCTAATAGCACTTCTATTAGAAGAGGCTGGATTGTGTGTACTTTTAATATTTTGAACAAATTTAAGTCTCCAACTTGAAGTTTTCCTGTGTAGATTTTGGTGAAATGTTGATTATTTGCATTGATAACCTTTTCTTGTTTTTCATTTTTTAAAATGAGGCTAAATTACTTTCATCTTCTCTTTTTTTCTTCATATGTTCTTTAATAGCAAACTCTTTGTAAGTTTTTTTCTTCTTCTCCAGATCCTTTCTTTTATGCTCTCGGGGAAGTTTTTTTATAGGCTCTTCCACCATTTTACAAATTTGTTTTATCGATAGTTATGGGAAAGCCATTTTTTTTTTTTTTTTTTTTTTGCCTTTCACCTGGCTAGCCTGTCTCTCTCTCTCTCTCTCCCCCTCCCTCTCCCTCCCTGTCTCCTTCCCTCCCTCATTCTCTCTCCTTCCCTCCCTCATTCCCTCTCCTTCCCTCCCTCATTCTCTCTCCTTCCTTCTCTCTCCCTCTCCCTCTCTTCTTCCCTCCCTCCTTCTCTATCCCTCCCTCTCTCTCTCTCCCTCTCTCTCTCTCTCTGTGTGTGTATGTGTGTTTGACAGTTATAGTTATTTGAATTTGTATTATGTAGTAGCAGAAACAAAGAAACTATCAAAAGACGTGTTTAATTTTATAAGATAATTGTTGTCAATAAAGGAATACAGAAATAGATTTTGATATTAGAAAGTATCATGTCCAGTGTTAAGTTTTAACTTTTTATTGAGGACATTTCCTGCTACTGATTTAATGTGAGACATTGGTATGGCTCATTTTGTTTTAGCTTTTCTGAAAGAATTGGTTTAATTTTAGCTTCCTTTACGTAAGCTTTTCGAGTTCATTGATTTGACTTTCATTAAGTAATGAGACAACTATATTCTAGAATAAGCATTTTTTAGATGTTTTAGTAATATTTATTCACTTATTTCTTTGTTCACCTACCCATTTATCCAATTTTTCTTTTTTTACCCTATGCCAGGCATTGTATGAGATACTGAAAACCTAAGCATGAATAAGATATAACATAGTTCTTTCTTTGGAGAAGGTCTCACTATTGGGGGTGACAAACATTTCAATACTGTGAAAGTGCTATGAAAGCAGAACTAATTCTGCTGAAAGTCTGGGAAGTTCTCAAAGGAGAAAGTGATATTTGCTGTCCTTTTCATTATGAAGGGTTAGGAGTTTGCATCTGAGTGCTTTTTACAAATTAGATACACGTTTGGTATGTAAAGATCTGTGCTTCATATTCAGTAATATATATAGGCCTCTCAACAATCATACTGCATTTGTGGTATCTTCATTTTATAGATGAGGAAACTGAAGCACACAGAAGTTAAATAAGTTGCCCATGATCATGTTGCTAGCTGGTGGCAGAGCCAGACTCTGTGCTGTTTGTTTCCTAAGATCATATTTTTCCAAATTATTTCTGAGCTTAGTAAGTAGCTAGGGAATTGCATTGCTTCTTTAGGTAAGTTGAGCAATATATTTCACACTCTCCAAGAAGCATACACTGTAGAATTAAGGCCTTTAAGATGGGCAACATGTGGTCTTTTTTGTTTGGTTGGTTTAGTTTTCTGTTTGAGCAAGATGTATTAGTATTACAGATGAATGCAGAAAAAAAACTGCTTGGCCAGAAGAAAATGTAACTTTAGTGCTGGTTTTTAGTCACACTAGCCTGGGTATTGCTGGTGGATTTCTGGAAATAGTCTCCTGAAACAGTGTTGAAACCTTTTCTTTTTTTTTACATTTAATATAAAGGAGAAGTCAAGATAGTTAAGGTTTACCAATCTGGTAGAGAAGCCTTGTGATGGAAAATAAATTTTCTTTCTTACTTTATATTACCATAAGGGTGATTAGAAACAGAGCTTTCTGAGGTTTTTCAAATGAAAATAGCTTTGTTTTTTCTGATTAGAAAGATGATATACACTGTAGAAAATTCAAGTAATAAAGAAGAGCATAAAGAAGAAAGTAAAAATTAAAGCCCCAGCACCTGCAGGTAATATTTGTTAAAGTTTTGGTGACCACACTTCCATGTTCTCTCTATGCATGTATAATGTATAGACCCATACGTTATCTGGATTATATCCTTCTCTAAGTTGTTAATATAACTTACTTTTTCACTGTGTTGGGAATATTATTTCATATCAGCATATGTTTAATACCACTATTTTAAGATAGCTGCATATCATCTTACACTTTGGATATTCCACAATTTATAGACCCTTATTGGTAAAATTTGAAGGTTTCAAGCTTCTTTTATAAACAATAGACTTGTTTCTAAGTATACATCTTTACACCACTATCTGATTCAAAGCGTAAGATAAATTTTTAAGAACTGCAATTGCTGTGTCAGAGCGTATACATTTAACATGTTGACACAGATTGTTAAATTGTGTTCCAGAAGGCTTGTACTAGTTTACATTTCTCATACTAATGTATGAGAGTGGTATTTTTCCTATACCATTGTCAGTTCTGAGCACTGTCTTTTAAAATCTTTACAAACCAGATAGATGAATATAGTATCTTTTTGTTTGGTTGAATTGTTCATTTGTTCTTTCGTATATTCATTCACTCATTCAAATGTTTTGTGAAAGTGCCCATCATGTTCCAGACATTGTCTTGGGTACTTGGGATAGGGCAGTGAACAAAATAGGGTAAGATCCTGGCCCTCATTGAACTTATATTTTTAAATAGAGGAGATGGACAGTAAAACAATAAATGTAATAGCTTGCTAGATAGATAAAATGTTAGAAGATAAGTACTATGGGAAAAAATGTAGAAGATAGTAAGAGGTTGGGGAGTCCCTAGGAGTGGAGTGAGTTACTGAATACTTTTGGGCATACATTTTGGCATCTTTAGATCTATCACATATAATTTCAGAAAAGTTGTGCTTTTCTTCTACTGGTTATGAGGATATCAATTTTCCCATCCTCTCATTGATAATGGGTGTTGAAATTAATTTTTGGTTTATTCATCTAACAGATAAAAGATGTCTATCATTATTTTCATTTCTGTTTTCTCAATTTTTTAATCTCTGTGTTGATGACTACCGTTTCGTTCTCAAGCCTAGATTGCTCTTGATCTTCAGACCCTGACCAGTGACCCATCTCCCCTTGGTTGTACCATGGATCTTTTCATACATAGCTGGACTATGTCGCTCCTTCTCTCCCTGTGACTCCTATGAGTCACCATTCATTCAGTTGTCTCAGCTAGAATTTGACATCATTCCCAACTTCTTTCCTTTTATTTCTTTCTTTGTCTAGTCAATGACCAAGTCTTTTTGATTTTTCTTACTAAATAAGTCTCATTGCAGGCTATTCCTTCTTCCTCTAACACTATTCTTGTTGAACTGTCATTCACATCTCATGCTTGGGGTACTATAGCAGATGCCTGATTATCTTTCCTCTCATTTGCCTTCTTTCAAAACCCTTTCCCATACTGAGGTGCTGAGATAGAGTTATCTGCCCTAAACTTGTATATGATTATCTTGCTGCTCTAAAGTATCTTAATGCTTCCCCATTGTCTTCAGTACACATTCCAAACTTTTATTTTTATTTTTTTGAGACGGAGTCTTGCTCTGTTGCCCAGGGTGGAGTGCAGTGGTGCGATCTTGGCTCACTGCAAGCTGTGTCTCCCGGGTTCACACCATTCTCCTGCCTCAGCCTCCCGAGTAGCTGGTACTACAGGTGTCTGCTACCACGCCTGGCTAATTTTTTTGTATTTTTAGTAGAGACGGGGTTTCACCATGTTGGCCAGGATGGTCTCGATCTCTTGACCTCGTGATCTGCCTGCCTTGGCCTCCCAAAGTGTTGGGATTACGGGCGTAAGCCACCGTGCCCGGCCACATTCCAAACTTTTAACATGGCTTACAAAACCCTTGTAGCCCTTCGTAGTCTAACTTAGCTTCCTTTTTCTCTCCCCACCCTAGTACCTTTACCGCACCCTCCACAACTTGTCCCCAGTACTTCAAAATAAACAAACAAACAAACAAAACCAAAACTGGCTATATGAACTGTATCAGTTACCCCAAAGAGCCATGTTCTTTTTAACCTTTGGTCCTTTGCGCATCCTGTTTTGCAGTCTTGGAATTCATCTCTTGTACCTCCAGTCTGTTGGGTTTCTGTCTTGGTAACAGTTTTCCAGGAATGCCTTCTATGAGTGTCTAATTGGTATCTTCCATAGCACTGTGTACTTAAACAGTACCACTTACTAATCACATTGAATTATGGTAATTTGTGTATTAACTTTTTTACTAAATACCACTCAATTATATGCTCTATGACAACACTGGTATTGTTTGATACTTAGGGCTAAGGCATTCAGCATGGGAGATATTCTATAGTTATATAATTAAATAAACATTTTAAAAAGTTTCCTGTTTCTATTTTCTTTTTGAATTGTCTGTTTTCGTCCTTTGCCCATGGAGGTTTTTTAAAAAAACTATGCATATAAACTCTTTATACATTAAGAACCATTCCTGTTTATGACAAATTCTTTTTATTAAATTTTCTTTTTATGCTTTCTCTATCAATTTTTTTTTTTCCAGATGGGATCTCTATGTTGCCCAGGCGTCTTGAACTCCTGAGCTCAAGTCATCCTCCCAACTCAGCCTCCCAAGTAGCTGGGATTACAGGCACGTGCTACCGTGCGCTGCTGTATGACAAATTCTTTATGCCATTTGGTTATTTACTGTTTGGTTCAGATTATAATTTTTGAGTTACAGACGTTTTTAGATTATTATGAATTAAAAATATGTGAATCTTTTAATTTAAATTTTGTGTTAGAATTCATTTTGCTTATGCTGTGAAATGACCTGACTCCTCCGTTTTTAAACGTTTATTTTATCATCCATTTCTGTTCTTTTTATTTTATTTTTCGAGATAAGGTCTCACTCTGTCACCCTGGCTGGGGTGCAGTTGCACCATCATGGCTCACCGCAGCCTTGACTTCCTGGACACATGTGATCCTCCCACCTCAGCCTCCTGGTGGCTGGGACTACAGGTGCACACCACCAAGCCTGGCTGATTTTTTTGTTTTTAAATTTTTTGTAGAGATGGGGTTTTGCCATGTTGCCCAGGCTCGTCTCAGAACACCTGGGCTCAAATGATCTGCCTACCTGAATCTCCCAAGTGCTGGGATTACAGGTGTGAGCCACTGTGTTGCCCTCATTTGTTTTTTATGATTCTTTTCTTATATGAAATTATTTCATATAAGAAAATACAAATTCTTATAAATTTTATAAATTTATATTAATATAAATGTATATATTATATATTATTCATATTATCTTATAGTATAAAATAATAAAATATTTTATATGAATTATACTATGAATCATAACTATTTTATTCATATAAAGTATTATACATTTGTATACATATACATTATTTCATTTTATATGAAATTCCTTCATATAATGATTACGATTAATCATTTCCTAGGCTGCCTTTTATGTTTAATTCTGTTTCTTTGGTGTATTCTACATTCTATTAATTGTTATTCTATAATGTGTTTCAGTATAAAGTAGGACACATCTTAACATCGTGAGTTCAGAACCTGGGCTTTGCAGTCAAATGGGCTTGAATGACAATTTGAACTCTTCTATCTGGTTATACAACTTTATAGCTAACCTCCACGCACCCTGGTTTCTTATCTGTTTAATAAAATGAAACTATGTGTTTCACAGAATTGTTAAGAAAATTGAACAAGAAATCTCTGTGAAGTGCTTGTTACTAAAACATGTTTGAATGCATTAAAATTGGAAGCTTTTTTTTTGAGACTGAGTCTCGCTCTGTCGCAGTGGCGCGATCTCGGCTCACTGCAACCTCTGCCTCCCAGGTTCAAACGATTCTCCTGCCTCGGCCTTCTGAGTAGCTGGGACTACAGGCACGTGCCACCATGCTCAGCTAATTTTTTGTATTTTTAGTAGAGACGGAGTTTCACTGTATTAGCCAAGATGGCCTCAATCTCCTGACCTCGTGATCTACCAGCCTCAGCCGCCCAAAGTGCTGGGATTACAGGCGTGAACCACCTCGCCCAGGTGGTAGCATGTTTTTAAAAAGTTTTCTTGATGTTCTTACTTGATTATTCTTTCAGTTAAAGTTGTGAATAAGTTGAAACTCCCCTCCTCCCAAAAATTCTTTTGGGATTTCAGCTTGAAAATCCTATGCGTATAAAATGAAAAAGTAAATGGATTAGGAAGAATTGAGGTCTTTATATATTTAGTCTTTGTGTTCAGGCTCAGTTTTACTCTTTTCTTGCTAAGACTATAATTTGATAATGCTTGTTTTACCTTTTAATTTTTTTTTTTTTTTTGCAGTGAATAGGATCTCCTTTCCTTTTTTACATTGGTTGTTGATGGTGTTTAGGAAATCTATTGATTTTTCTATTTCTTCTGTCTTGTTACTTTGCTTGTAGATTCTGACAGTTTTTGGTTGATTTCTTGGATTTGCTACTACATAATCATATGCTTTAGAGGTGTCAGTTTTTTCCTTTGTTGCTTTCTATTCGTTCCATTTTAAATTTGCTTTATTCTTATTGTATTGCCTTAGAATGTCTAGGACTACCCACAGTGAGAGTAAACTTTGTTTCATTTGTTATTTTAATGGTGCTGTAGAATCTCGAAATGACAAGTTCAAGTTTGGTTTAATATATTTTCCTTCTCTGGTATGGGGCTTTAGATGTCATCTGTCAGGGTAGGAACAGTTAGTTTTTGTTGTTACAGAAATAATATGTGTTGGAAGAAGTTTATATATATTTGTTATTTTAAAAATTGTGATTGTTTTAGTTTGTTCCTGCTGCTATAACAAAATACCTTAAACAGAGTAATTTATAAACAACCTAAATTTATTTATTTATTTTTATTATACTTTAAGTTTTGGGATACATGTGCAGAATGTGCAGGTTTGTTACGTAGGTATACACCTACCAAGGTGGTTTGCAGCACCCATCAACCCATCATCTGCATTAGGTATTTCTCCTGATGCTATCTATCCCTCCCCTGGTCTCCCACCCCCAGACAGGCCCCGGTGTGTGATGTTCCCCTCCCTGTGTCCATGTGTTCTCATTGTTCAGCTCCCACTTATGAGTGAGAACATAACCACATAAATTTATACACAGTTATGGAGGCTGAAAGTCTAAGATCAAGGCTCTGGCAGATTTGGTGTCTGGTGAGGGCTTGGTTTCTGCCTCTAAGATGATGCCTTGAGCACTGCTTCCTCTGGAGGTGACCAGTAATGTCTTCACATGGCAGAAGGGATTGAAGGGACTAGCTAGCTAGTTTTATTATCAAGCCCTTTGATAATATAACTAATCCATTCATGAGGGCTGACCGCTCATGACTTAATCACCTCCTAAAGGCCCCGCCTGTTAATTGAGTCCTACATTTGGAATAATCTTCAGATCTACCTCTTTGTCAAAAAGTGAGATTCCTAACATTTAACCTTGGATAATTAATAACCAAATGATACTGGAGTTTAATGCATCTTCAAGTTAATATATGTGGTATGATAGCAGGAATACCAAGGTTATTTTATTTTAAAGTGGATTTATTTCATTATTTGTTTGTTTGTTTGTTTGTTTAGGTAGAGTTTTGCTCTTGTTGCCCAGGCTGGAGTGCAGTGGTGCAATCTCAACACACTGCAACCTCCGCCTCCCGGGTTCAAGTGATTCTCCTGCCTCAGCCTCCCAAGTAGCTGGGATTACAGATGCCCGCTACCACAACCAGCTGATTTTTGTATTTTTAGTAGAGACGGGGTTTTACCATGTTGGCCAGGCTGGTCTTGAACTCCTGACCTCAGGTGATCTGCCAGCCTCGGCCTCCCAAAGCACTAGGATTACAGGCGTGAGCTGCCACGCCCGGCCCGTAAAGTGGATTTTATACTTTTATATCTTGGTTATTAATATGGTCAGAGGTACCAACATTTTAAAACCATAATTAATGAAAAAATAAATCACTGTACTAAAATAATATAGGAAAGTTCTGTTAATTTTGAGTTAAATTGTTTTAATGTAAAAATTTTGCCTGATATTTCATATTTATCTTCAGAATGTATGATTTTGAAATAATTGTGTCTTACATGTATTACAGGTCACCGTATCATCAGCCAACCTCATACAGGCCACGCTTACTGCTATCTGGAGAACGGGGCTCAGGTCAAACTTCTCACCTTGCTCCAGCACTTTTGCACACTCTAGAAAGATTCTCTGTGCATAGACTAGATCTCCCAGCACTTTATTCAGTTAGTGCCAAAACACCTGAGGAATCATGTGCACAGGTAGGTTTGTATCACATCAGAGCACTTCTGACTTTCTTATTGCTTATATTTTGGTAATATTTCTAGTGTATAGTGTTTACAGATAAGATTTTTCAGAGTATGATGTGAATATTAACTTTTTGTTGGTTATTCATTAGCATTCTAGTATTAGTGTAAAGGATCCTTTTGATGCATACAGTTTTTTAGGTGAGCTCATTGTCTTTCTCATGATCTTCCTTACTGAAATTTTAATACCCTGTTTCATTATGCATTGTATGTAGAAAGGGAGTTTATTTTGCCTTTTTCTGACCCTCTGTTCAAAGCTGTGGTCTCAGAGCAGTTTCAGACTTTTGTCTTTTCTTAGAGCCTTATCATAGAAAGGGAAATGATATCCAGTTTGAGATATCAGAATTTAATATTCATATTAGAATAGTGATAGCCGTTCAAACATTATAGATATTTGTGTTGATAGTTGTGTGTTTGATATTTGACTTTCAATTTTTTTTTTTTTTTTTTTTTTGAGACGGAGTCTTGCTCTGTCGTGACCCAGGCTGGAGCGCAGTGGCCGGATCTCAGCTCACTGCAAGCTCCGCCTCCCAGGTTTACGCCATTCTCCTGCCTCAGCCTCCTGGGTAGCTGGAACTACAGGCGCCCACCACGTCGCCCGGCTAGTTTTTTTATTTTTTTTTAGTAGAGACGGGGTTTCACCGTGTTAGCCAGGATGGTCTCGATCTCTCGACCTCGTGATCCGCCCGTCTCGGCCTCCCAAAGTGCTGGGATTACAGGCTTGAGCCACCGCGCCCGGCCGACTTTCAATTATTTTATATTTACTGGTTTGTGAAGCAAAGTTCTAGTGGGGCTGTTTATATTTCTTGAGGTTGTTATATATAACCATGGATATATTATGTCATATTGAAACTAGGGATGAGGGTAATACATTTTTTGAGCTAAGGAACCATATCTAAGCCATTTTTGTAACTCTGACAAGGTGTCCAGCTGATAGTGGTCATTAAATGTTTGAATAATAGTGTTTCAAATAAATAAATTAGAGAAAGGAATGCCACTTTGTAGTTTGCTACTTAGCCTACTTTTAGAGTTAGATAACTGGAGTAGTAACACTTAAAACATTTCACACAATTTTGTTGTTTTTTTCCCAGTTACGTTTTCCAAATAATACATATACTATAATTGGCCATTTCCTACGTTGTAGCAAGAAATACGCATTTTTTAAGCAATTCATAGTAGTATTGATTTAGTTTCTCTTTTACTCACAGTCTCTGGATATGAACACCCTACCAGCACTTTATCACTTTTAAAGCCCTATTTAAAGGTTTCTTTTTCCAAAACCCCTGAGTTAAATGCTATCCTCCAGTATTTTGCTCCCAGTTTGACACATTTAACTCATCCTGGATGTGTTTTCCAATAATGTTGATTTATATATTTACTCGTATTTTTCTTTTTAGAGAGACAAAATTACTGCAGGTTGTATGCAAGTAAGAGAATTACTCAGTACCATTTAAAATAAACCCAAATGATTTAGTAGAAAAATATAAATCAACAAAATTGACCCCAGAGAGGAGAGAATCTAAACAAATCACTGTGGAAGAAGAAATTCAGCACGTATCTTAAAGCCATTAAACATAGATGGTTTCACAGGTGAATTATTTTAATCTTAAAGGATAAGATCATTTTAATGCTAGTCAAACTGTTCCAAGGCATAGGAATAGGAGGAAAACTATGAAATTGGCAAAACCAACAATATCACATCTTTCAGGGAAATACAAAATAAAACTGTAGGCCAATCTCATTTAAGCAGTGATCACAAAGAAACTATTACAAATGAAATCTAGTAGCGCAACAAAAGAGTAATATAACATTACTAAAGCATGTAAGATTAATTCAGTTAGATATTGAGAGATACAAGTATTGGAAAGGATACATTGAATTTGTAAGCATTTGCCTATGATATGATTAATTATATGGAAAACTTACAGTGTCAACTAAAGAATGATGAAAGACAATAAAGGAATTCCGTAAGGTGGACACTTTCAAAGTTAATGTTTTAAAATGATACTTTTCTCTTATAAATACTATAATAAATTAGAAATATAATAGAAGAAGAGGTCCCAATTAAAATAGCAACTAAGTTTACCTAGGAATTAGCAGAAACAGTATGAAGGGACTATGAGAAGAAAACTAAAAGTTGCTGAGGGGGACAGTTGACTATATGAAAGACATACCTTGTTTGTTTGTTTCCCAACCCAAAGGCCAGAGAAGCCTCCCGCTAGGAATGCTCTCTGCCTTTCATAGTATCATCAGTCTTCTTCTTGGCGGGGGGAGGAAACCATCTTTATTAAGGAGGCCAGAGGTGGGCTAGTCTCTTGTATTCTTCCCATATCCCTAAAGTAAATATATGTTTGTTTGTTTGTTTGTTTTTTGAGACGGAGTCACACTCTGTTGCCCAGGCTGGAGTGCAGTGGCGCCATTTCAGCTCACTGCAACCTCCGCCTCCAGGGTTCAAGCGATTCTCCTGTCTAAGCCCCCCAAGTAGCTCAGACTACAGGCACGTGCCACCATGCCCAGCTAATTTTTTGTATTTTTAGTAGAGACGGTGTTTCACCATGTTAGCCAGGATGGCCTCGATCTGCTGACCTCGTGATCCGCCCTCCTTGGCCTCCCAAAGAAGTAAATATATCTGTAGAGATTTGGCATTTGGGTCTCAAACCAAGCTTGTAGACTTCAAAATTTGGTTGTCTCAAACTAAAATCTCTACCTTGAGAACTCAGAAGCTTATTTGGTAAACCAAAAGCCAAGAATTTTGTTTGTTATCTTCAGTCTTCTGATCGACTCTTTTGAGGCAGGAGGATTGGAATGTTCTACATAGATAAATTTCAAATGTATTTGGGCAGTTAAAAACCTGTTGAGCATTCAACTCCATATGTGAATGTACTTCTAGTGTGTGTATGTGTGTGCATGTGTGTGTACACACTACTATTAATCTTTATATTAAGAAATAGCAAAGTTTAGATGGTTTCTCTGCTTTAGATATCAATTAAATGTCAATATTCTCATCACCTCTTACTCTCAGCTCCCATGATCTGATCATTGCTGCAGATCTCTGCATTGGGAGTGAACCACTATATAGGAACAAGAAAGTCTGGGGATTTGGGATGGGCATATCTCAGTGAATACTTCACAGTGCCATCTTCGTAGAGAGAGCCATGCCTGGCTAGAATACTTATGGTGTTTTCATACTAATGATAATGTGTTAATATGTGGAGCTTTAGAGGAAGAAGCACACCTTGTTTGTAATTACTGTGTTAAACTTATTTAATTCAGAGTGTAGACTCAAGTCAAATTATGCAGACTAAAATCTCAGTTGTGGTTGTGACCTTGGGCAAGTAGCTTAACACTCTGGGCCTTAATTTTCTCATCTGTGAAACAGAGATGACACCATGAGGTTATCAAATACGCTTGACATATAGTCCTCAATGAAAGTTAGTTATATTCATGCTTATTACTACTACCGTTGCTGCCACTGCTACTGCTTACAACTAAATGGTAAGGCTTTAAGTTCAAAGACTGTGAGGTTTTTTTCCTAAATTAATGTATAAATTAAGTTCCAATTATAATCTCCTCAAGACTTAGGGAGAGAAGTTAAAAAAAAGAGTTCTGTGTTTCTTCTAGAAAATAAATATGAGACTAGCAAGGAGAATTCTAGAGGAAAAAGTGTCATTGGGGGCCCTACCAAAATTTTAAGGGTGTAATAGAGTTACAGTAATAAAGAATGTGTGCCTGTGCAAGAATAGACAAAAGTATTAGAAGAGACAATTCACGCTTAAGACTTTGGTAGAAGTAGAATTTGATGGTGATGACCACAATGGCGATGACATTTCATATCAGTAGATGGAAGAAATGGATTATTTACCAAATGGTCTTGGAAAACTAGCAAGTTCCTCCAACAGGGGAAAAAGCAAAACAAAATAAAACTAGGATTTCCTACCTTTTTCTATAGCCCAAAATGAACTCGACATGGTCAGTGGAACTATAAAAGTACTGGAAAAATTCACAAGGTCAGTGTATTTATTATCTTATGTGTGAAAGTAATTTCTAAGCAATGCACAAAAGCTAGAAAACATAAAGATATGAAGGAATTTGATTATATAAAATTTTAAATTACACATGACAGAAAGCATTCCTTAAATTAATAGATATAGTCTGGGAAAAAGTATATTTGTAGCAGGTATGTTGAGAACAGGTTTCCTAAATATGGACAAATGCATTAAAATCAGTAAGAAGAAAGAATAGCAATCTAATATAAAAATTGGCAAAGTAGAAACATGATATTTATGGGGGAAAAGAAAAAGCAACCAATAACAAATGTGAAAAGTTTCTAAGCTTCACTTAAGTGAAAATAAAGTATCAGATTTGTGTGTGTGTTTTTTTAAAAGCTTGATAATGCCCCGTTGGAGATGTGGAATGCTCATACTTACTTAGTGGAAATGTAAATTTATTTGATGTTTTTGGAGTGTAATCTGGCACCGTCTTTTAAAATTTCAAGTACCACATTGGTGTAGTGTGAGAAAAGAAAATAACATTTCAAGTACATATACCCTTTGACCCAGAAATTCTACGTTTAGGAATTTTTCCTAAAGATATGTTAGCTACAAGTATTCAATGCTAAATGAACAAGTATATTTATCACTGTGTCATGTGTAATTGCCACACAAAACACAAAGGCAAACAAACTGAATATCCCTTCACGTGGGACCAGCTAAACTTAGTTATGGTGTATCTTGACATACAGAGGAATACTGTCTAACTGTTAACACGAATGATGTAGATTTACATGGGCTGATTCGGAAAAATGAAGATGACATTAGTGAAAAAAGCAGGTATCCCCCAAAAATGTTAATATGGTTGCTTTGACTTGGGGAGAAGGACTCTGGAAGATTGGAAAATGTGTGAACTTTGCCTTTTTAGCTTATGCTATACTGTTTGGAAAATTCTCTTTTTTGAAG